AAGGCCTTTCCATTGGCTCTGATGACCTGGCTCTTGGCCTCCTACCCCCAGACCACAGTTACCATGGTGACCTAAGCACTGTCCACGTCATACTGGGCTCTGGGGGCAACAGGACTCTGCCTGACTTAGGCGAGCCAATTTACAATGGGCTGACAATTTTTCGATGTTTCTGTAAGGTCCAGTTTAGACGAGCTGGATTGCTGGCACTTCCTCTAATTACCGATGGGCCAGGCGCCAAAATCTGACACATTACATGAGAAAACTTCCTTTTCGTTTCAAAAGTGATGCTGTGGTTACGTGTAGAATATGTCCTCATAATGACTCACGAAGCTTTTGAAGTCATTAAAAGGCATTATTTTATTATAGACATCAGCCACACGGATACCCGCCAGTTTCTCCTTCTCACTGCCCTCTATTTTCAAGGCCTCCGCCAGCATTTTCCACCTCGTTTAGCCTTAACTTTTGTCTTAATCATTGTGCTCCGACTCGGTGCCCATCACATTCGACGGTGGCCTTCACCTTTTCAGCCCCCTTCACAGTTCTTCTCTTCTCGCTGTCCGACTCACTTCTTTCTGCCCTCTCCTTCTTCCCTTTTTGCGGTTTATCCACCTCTTTTTTTATATCATACGTTCTTCTCTTCAGGACACAGATGAGGGTTTTTTACCGGCGCAAGGCAGCAAAAGCAGAGCCGAATGACATTCAGCTAACGGGACGGGGGCTCGATTAAGCATTCCGGCTTTTTGCAAATGGGCTTTCCAGATTAAATGGACATTTTTCACCGCCCATTCACGGCTCGATGAAGCCACGTCGGCAAGTCGGTCTTTCGCGACCGTTTAAAGGGAAAGACCACCCTGTCCGAATGACCCTAAACACTGTCATTCGGCCAAATCAACTGTACAACATAAACACACACAAGCACGCATACACACACAATTTAGGAAGTGTGTAATCTGTCTGGCAGAGAGGAGCACAGAGAGTCTCTAATTAGGCGGGTCGTAGAAGCTGCCCTCATTCCAGGAGCATTGGTGGCAATGCTCTGGCTGTTGTCGTTCCAAGACACCATCTTTGAAGGTATGAAGAGTAGCTGGATTTGGATGCGTCTCTTCAGATAGCATTGTTGTGGGGAATTTCATTTCGTGCAAAAGTGGATTGTAAAGAGAGTTGTTTGTCACTGTTTGTCTTTATTTAATACGATATTTAGTTTATTAAGTCCATTAGACATCCTCTCCCGTTTCGGGTGGAATTCGTTGATCATATCCGGCTATATCCTACATGTGGTCGTTTTTATGTTGGAGAGACTTGTCTTCCCATTCGACAAAGAGTGGCTGAACACAAAAGCGC